AAAAAGCAACATGACTTTATTCATCTTTAGTAGCAATCTTTTCTGAAATACAGTGCCTGCAATTTGTTACTTTTTTCTTATCCATATCTAGACTTTCCCATGTCTGTATCTCTTCTTTTTCTCTTCTCGTGTTTCTATTCCCCATTTTGAACATCTACTGTATATACTATAGCAGATAACTGAATTATATTGTTGTAATTTGTAACAAGGAATACAGTTCCAAATGTTCAAATTAGATGAGTACTGTGTTTTATGTTCCTACTTTAAAAAAACTCAAGTAAGTTGCTTTAACAATATGGGGCCCTTTATTAATTTTTTCCCATTTAGCCTTGGCCCCAATAGATGAAATTCTTCCCCTCCCTGTCAGGCTCTGAGTTTTCTGAGGGCTAAAATGTCAAACTAATAAAGATCCCGACAAGCTGTGTGACCTTGGACAAGTCATATAATTTCTTCATGCCTCAGTTCTCTTATTTGTAAAATGAATTCATCTGGGGACAGAATTGGGGGGATGGAGGCAGTGGGTGGGATGAAGGAGGCATGGATGTTACAATATCATGTCTTTGTGTGGTGTTCTTGAATCTGATCCAGTCATTTCTGAGCAGATATGCCTTTGTTGAAGAAAATCTGGCATCTTGACCTTCTGAGGAGGCAGCATGATGTACTTGCAAGAGGGTTAGACCACGGACTTGGACAAATCAAGGTGTGAATCCCGACTCGCAGTCAATAAGAGCTGGGCTCTTGAACAAATCATGGAACTGTTCAAAAACAAAATTTCCTTATCTATTTAGTAAGGCTTAGAGCTCCTTCAGCATAGGCTAACTGTGAGGACTCACTTAATAACTGTTTGTTGAGCACCTACTATGTGCTAAGAAGAGATGAGAAGTGTGTTCAACAAAGAAGAGGGCTCCACTCTCACAGTTGGGTGAACTAACTCACATCGAGCCCCCGGCAAGAGGTGTAGCACATAGTAAATGCTCAATACATGGTAGTGGCGATCATTATTACCCTCCCTTCTCCGTGGGAAGGCTGCCTGTCCTTCCCATGCTGTTAATCCCCTATGTCCCCCTATGTCTTCGTTGGTTTCCCCAGAGTACAGGTGAGACTTCCTGGAGTTATCTGCATTCTCCCCAGCAGCCAGCTCCCTGGTGACCGGCAGCATTATCAAATGGCTGTCTGCACTGGGGCCTGGGGTCCCCAGCTGCTTGTGGGCACAGCCAAGTGCAACCGACCTGTGTCCTTTGCTTGTTAGCAGTCACTGGATCAAGTGGCCACCGATAGGGCTGGAGTTTAATTCCAGAGGCCTGGGAAACCCACTGTGCCCAGAAAGCTTCTCTCTGGGTACTCAGGGTATGGTGACTTTTCTCTGGGAACACCCAGCCCAGGCGAGGCCACCTGGGCTCCTCATTTATACTGTATTGTGACGAATTCAGAGCCCCATGCTCTAGCCTTCATCCGAGTCTGTCCCTAAACAATTCTGATGGCCCTTCAGGACAGAGTAGTGGCACAGCAAGGAGAATGCTTTTCCCCTTTCCTCTTCTCAGTTCTCCCATGCCACCAGCAGAAAACTTTCATTTTCTTTTTCCTTTCCAGAAGAACAAAAACAGGATTAGGACCCATGAGCTGGTTAAAAGTTGTTGTTTATCAACATTAGGTGGCAAGGGAACTCGTGTTTACTGAGGGCAACCTCCATGCCTGTCAGTTACCTGATTTAACCCTTGTGACAACACTGCAATGTGGGAGTCATTATCTCCATTTTACAGATGAGACCACTGAGTCCCAGGAAGGCAAAGGCATTCACCTACAGCTGCATAGCTAAGAAGTAGCATTGTGAGGATTCAGACCCATGTCTGACTCCAAAGCCCCATGCTCTTTCCGCCACATGGGGCCAAATACTTTCAGTGAGTGCATGTGTGTACCTCTCAGGCCAGACACTATGGCGGGTGGCTGAGCCCTGGGGCAGCATGGCCTTGACAGCACACCATAAGCTTCAGTGAGGTGCCCTCTTCTCTCCCTTTGGGCCAGATGACTTGTTACTTCATTAGCAGCCTGGGAGCCAGGCCGGTCCATACACTGCCCAGGTTTCCCGACCCCAAATGCCAAGCTTTCATGTATCCTTAAAGACAGAGGAGGCCTCAACATCGTGAAGAGCTCCTGGCCCCTGCTGTCCTCCAATACAGCCTCCCCAACACAGGCATTCACATTCCAAATTTAAGACAGTTCTACCAAGGCAGAACTTTTGCACTAACTCAAAACAAAAGCACTCCTGTGAGCAAAGTCATAACATAAACCTTACACTGATAGATGGCCTTGTACTTGACAAAGCACTTCCACATCCATTTGACCCTCTGGACAATTCTGTGACATAAACAGGGAAGCAGCATTATTATTTTTTTAGTGTTCCTATTTTACAGATAAGAAAACCAAGGCTCCCAAAGTTCATGGGGACATGCCTATAGGTGATGCTGTGAGGGCTGAGAGTTAGTGGTCTTTAAATAATATCCCAGGGGAGGGCTCCTTTGTAAGCCCTGCAGAAGCCCCATTTACATGATGACAATTACAATATTAATCACAAATCTCTGGCAATAATAACGAACATCTCGCAAATGCTTACTGTACTGGGCGCGGGTAACATGCTTCATTTGTCATGCATTATTTCACTGCCTATCATAACCCTCAGAGGAGTAGGTCCCATTATTACCCCCATTTGACAGATGATGATAGTGGGGTTCAGAAGGCTTCGATGCCATACCCATGGCCATAAAGCTAGGAAGTGGTAGACTGGGGACACAACCCCAGGACTGTGGTCCCAGAACCACACTCCACTAGACTAGAGTGCCTCTACAGTTGAGTCCAATATGGAAGCCACTAGCCACATGTGGCTATTTAACTTTAAATTAATTAAAATGAAATACAGTTATCACTCAAGGTTAGGGGTATAGCTCAGTGGCAGAGCGCATGCTTACCATTCACGAGGTCCTGGGTTCAATCCCTAGTACTTCCATTAAAATAAATAAATAAACCTAATTAGCACCCTGCAAAAAAAACTGGTGGCAAAAAAGCCCCTCAGTTCCTCCATCACACTAGCTGCACTGCAAGTGCTCAGTGGCCACACGTGGCTAGTGGCTATCGCATTAGACGGCCCAGATAGAGAACATTTCCATCACTACGGAAACTGCAACTGGATAGTGCCGGTGCAAACACTCCAGGGTGGTCCTCCTCAGGCTTCTCCTTTGGTAAAATGCTATTAACTGAAGGCAGGGTTTCCCAATCTTGACACTGTTGACATTGGGGACTGGAAACTTCTTTGCTGCGGGGACTGTCCAGTGCACTGTGGGCTGTTAAGCAGCATCCCTGGCATCTACCCACTAGATGTCAGGAGCACGCCTTCCTCCTAGTTTTGACAATTGCCAAAAGTCCCCTGGGGGAGCAAAATTGCTCCCCACACTCGTGCAGAGAAATTCTGGGTTAGGGTTAGCACAAGCATTTGAAGTAGTCAAATGGCAAATCTTATCACTTACCATAACTTGGCCTCCTGATAACATGCTATTTCACTGAAACTCTTTTCTTCTAGTGAATCACAGCCTACAGTCATTTGCATTGAATGAGTGGTTTTAAAAGCTATTGAAGATTTTATGAAAGAGTAAAACCATTTAAAGCAGCAGGATGAGAGTGAAGATGCCAAGAAGGGGTCACTAGAATGTACCGCAGGATTAGTTCCTCCAACTTGCTATTCATTAACCCTAACTATGAAATTGTGAAGGAAGGATAAGAATTGAATTGGTGTAAAAAGCTAAAGGAATGTCAGAGTAGAAAATCAATTAGGAAACAACAGAAGAAATCACATCACATACTGCATCTCGGCTACTAATTCCCAGAAATAACTAACAAGAAATATTGTGCTACGTGAGAAATTGATGAAGGAATTCCCCAGATGCTAAAGTTTGCCCAACAGAATATGGGCTTTCAAAGAATTCAAAAGAAACTAGTGTAAATGTTCCCACACAAAGTGCTGAAATTTTAGTTACTGATGAAATAACATACTTTCCCACATTTTACATATATTCCCCAGGAAAAGAAGCCTCCCTAAAGCAAATGGAACCCTGCTTGGAAAGCTGTGAAAGACCAAATGGAACCTATCAACTGGAGTCCGGCTTCCTTACCCTCAAAATGAAGACATTTGCACCTATCCCACCATTACAGGATCTTGTCTGCTTAAGAAAATTCTTATGCTTTTCCTTCATCTCCTCATGTACTTGCACAAAAACAGTCTTGCATAATTCAAGACTCCTATTTTCTCCCTTCTACCAATTAGCACATTCACTGATCCCTTGATAACTCTCCTGTCACCTGCTGTCATTCTATGTCTATGAAGAAAACAGATTTTAATAGTTAGTTATCTTAAGCAAGAGCTATCTCTAACAAGAACCAGTTCAGGATTTAAACACCCAAACTGATACCCTAGCAACTGACTGGATTCAAGCGAGGGGCCCATGGGACAAGCAACACGGAGTCAAGCCCACAAGGGCATGGATGGCTCTGAATACACTCATCTCCACCACTGGCCAAACATCTCCAACTTACATAATAAATGTATCTACCTGTATATAAAATCTAGAATGCAACTGTGATCTGGAGAGGAAACTGGGAGCCAGTCTTGTGTTTCCACCCAAATTCAACATTCAAGCCCTCCTGGGATTCCTTGAAGGGGTGCAACCCATCTGAGGCAGCCAACCTGCGATTCTAGGAAACCCCTTGAGGGAATTGTTGTAGAGATGGAGGGGGAAGGAAAGCCAAGGCTCACAGGGGGAGCAGTGAATGTTCCAGCAGCCCCATTTCCCTCCCAGTCTTCCCCTCCCATTACCCCTGGAGCCCTCGAGAAAGCTCAGAGAAGGGACGCTAGCACTGCATCAAAGAACTGCAAGACTGCATATCGTACAGCTTGGAACAAATGTAGAAAATTAAGACAAGTCAGAGAATTGAGAAGGATTTTCTTCACTCACCCAAATTCTGCTCCTTGTTTCCATCCCTCTCTCCTCTGTCTTCTTATCTCTCTCCCACTTCTCTCCTCCAGCTTCTCCATCGGCAACTGCTCTGTTTTTTATTCTCTCCTACCGAGCTTGTACCTCCCACCCCACCTCCCGCAAACTGTTGTTTACTGGGCTGACCACTCCCTAAAAAGGCAAGCTCCTCAAGGACATCTTGGTTCAGTCAACAACATTCTTTCAACAAATATCAGTGCCAGGCCCTGTGCTCACTTGGTTCCAGGAAAGGAAGCAAAAGTTTCTCCCACGATGCTCAGCACAAAGCTTGCTACAGAGCAGGTGCACAATATTTTTGAATGTTTACTGAGTCTCCATACCTTTTAAGTCCTGCAAGGGACTCCAAGCCACTTAGGTGTAGAAAGCTTGACTCAATCTCCTCAAACGCCCTCATCATTTCTCCTCTTCCTTCAGCCCAGATTCAATAAATCATCAGATGAGCTCAGACTTTAAATGGTGGCTACAGGAAGAGGCCATCTGGTCTCCTGAGTCTCCCTTTTCCACCCCAAAGACCTCAGGCTGCCCCAGATTCCCTACATGGAAAGCAGACACTAGGATGAAGGAACCCTGAGAAGGGCCCCTTGTGTATCTGGAAGCAGGAGGATCTAACAGAAGCCAGCCCTGAGCCAAGGGAGGAAGGGTGTGCACAACCACCTGGGAGCAATAACAGCACCCTTATCACCTCCCACTGCAATGGCTGTTATCTCCCTCGTCCTCCCAATGTCTCCATGGTCTACCTCTCTGTCATCTGGTGCTATGGTGAGTTACACAAGGAAAACTTTGTAATTTCCACAGTATCCATCCAAGGCCATAGGTTGAGGGCACAACAGTGAAATGAGCCTGGGAGCTGGGGTTAAAAAACAGTTGCAAGCCCCAATGCTCATAGCAGCTCTATTTACAATAGCTAAGACATGAAAGCAACATAAATGTCCATCCACAGATGACTGGATAAAGAAGTTGTGGTATATATGTACAATGGAATATTACTCAGCCATAAAAAAGGAACGAAATAATGCCATTTGCAGCAACATGGATAGACCTAGAGATTATCATACTAAGTAAGCCAGATAAAGACAAATACTATATACTATCACTTATACGTGGAATCTAAAACATGATACAAATGAACATATTTCCAAAGCAGAAACAGACTCACAGACACAGAAAACAAATTTATGGTTACCATAGGGGAAAGGATTGGGAGAGTGATAAGTTAGGTGTCTGGGATTAGCAGATACAAACTACTATATATAAAATATATATACAAGGTCCTACTGTATAGCACAGGGAACTATATTCAATATCTTGTATTAACTTATAATGGAAAAGAATCTGAAAAAGAACATACATATGTATATATTTGAATCACTGTGCTGTACACCAGAAACTAACACAGCATTGTAAATCAACTCTACTTCAATAAAAAAGAAAAAGCATTTGACAAAACTCAACAATAATTCATAATAAAATTTTTGAAAACGCACACACACACAAATTAAAACAGTTGCAAGGACATGTTTCGAGTTTAAAGATTCCAGGCCCATTCCCCATCAGAATTGCAGGAATGTGCTCTGGTACTGATCTTGAGGAAGAAGCAGAAGGGGGCAGCCAACCTACCCACGCCCGAACCACCTGTCTTTGCCACCTCAAATGGGGTGCCACTAAAAACCACATGGAATACCACTGTGGGCCTGCAGGCCAGAGGCCACCAGTCCCTGTCCACATAGTGCCTTTCCATAAAGGCAGAGAACTGCAGGGGCCAGGCGAGCCCGTGCAACACTAGACTATCGGAGACCTGCAGTGAGTGAGGTTTCTGGTGGAACTACAGATTGTGACAGCTGAGGGAGAAGATTGTAAGCTTTATGAATGAAAACGGAAAATAATCACAACCATATGACCAGATCCATTTTGCTTAATATCTTCTTCCTGTTGTCACTGCTTGAAATATGCACACGCAGCATCCAAAAACACCTCTGTGGACACATAGTGAGAATAAACTGCTTGGAGCTAGTGCCACAGCAAATAACTGGGAGACCAGGTATTGTACAGCTTAGAACAAATTTAGAAAATGAAGGCAACTCAGAAAATTTAAAGTGATTTTCTCCACTCACACCAAATCGCCTCCCTCTTTCCACCCCTCTCTTCTCCTTCCTCTCCTCTCTCTCCCATTTCTTCCCCCAGCTTCCGCCCCGACGATCCCACCACCATATCTTTATTTCCAGTCATGCTGGCTGCTGACGGGTGCCAGAAGAAAAAGTTTCGGTGTAACTGAAACAATGTTACTTAATGGAATTATTACTGCAAACATTATTTTAATGGTGTTCCTAGCCTTGTAAAATCCGGGTTTGTGGGGCGCTTTAACTGAAGACGACATGGGCTAAGTTTCTCAACATGTGCAAGTTGGAACCTATAGCTTTGCCCTTGTCTCTCTCCCCAGCCCGCGTGTTATACAAACATCCTCCTCGTGCAGCTCTCCTTCCTCAGACCCTTGAGCCATTTCTTACAAAGTATAGCAAAGCTAAGGCCGCAGGGGTTCCAAAGACTGCCCTTGCACCAAGAGGTCGGGCATCACGATGCGCAGGAAAGGAAACCCCGGGAATAACTAGGTATCCCACGTCAGTCAAGACGGCTCGGCTAAATTTTCCTATTGGTGCTTCCCTCCTTGCCTTGCAAGTGTATTAATCAACAGGCGCAACAGCCTTGGGAAGACTCTCCGCCTTCCCAGCCCGGCCCCGCGCTCCCTGGGACTCAGGTGAGCCAGGTAGGCACCGCGGCGGGAAGGAGAAAACCCGAATCGGGAGCCTGCGGGTCCAGCCGCCCCGCCCCGCCCCGCCCTGCCCCGCCCTCTCCAGGCCGGCCGAGTCCGGGAAGCGCGCGCCGGGCTCCCGCGCCCCCGCCGCCGCTGCTGTCCCGCGCACGCGCACACGCACGCACACCTGCGCGAGCCCTCGCAGGAGCGTGCCGCCCCAACCCGGCGGGCGCGTCGCCGCGAGTTAGAGTCCCGCCGCGCGCGCTCGACTAGCTCGCAGTTACGCCTCTTCTCAGCCGGCGCCCGGCTTGAGCGGCGAGAGGTACCCGTACCGGCGGTCGGCGCTCTGCCAGTCTCCACTCCGTACAGTACAGTTGCAGCGCTTACTGCGCCCGCCACTTACTCTGGGTTCTTCAGGCAACCGTAAAACCCAGCCATCGTGCCTCCGAGGGAGCCGGCGGCCGGTTACGCGCCCTGCCAGCTGGGGTGCATAGGGGCCAGCTCTCTGCGCCCGCCCTTGGGGGCTGCCACGTGGGGGCAGCTCTGCACGCCAAGCTCCCACACGCACGCAGCCCCAAACCGGCCGGCCGATGCAATCACCAGCCAGAAAGTTTCTTCTCTGAGGCCTCTGTCTTCTGAACTAGGTCCAAAAAGGGCTGAGCTTGTTCCTTACTTGGTTAGGAACTGTTAACTCTCCCTTTTTCCTCTGCCTCCGCTTCCCGTGACCACAGCATCCTTAGTGCAAAATACCAGATGCTCTTTCTTAGCCTCCCTGGGTCCCTGCAGGACTGACGAGTGTGAGGGATAGCTTGGAGGGGAAGCCCTGAGGAGTCAGAGACTTTGATCCGGGCGGGGAAGGACACTGTAAAGAAATCGCTTTCTGGCATTTTAGATCCTGCAGGCTGAGGGGAGGGAGGAGCAAAGTGAGGAAGACAGAGGTGAAGCCCCAAAGGGACTTTAAATAACAAGGCTGGAAGCATTCCCACCTCAACCTGAACACTATTTTTGACACGATTGTTCTTTAATCCTAAAGAAAACGATTTATTCCCCAAGCAAGTCTGGCCATAAACAAAAAGAGCAAGTATATCTTTAAAGTTGTGCCATCTCAAAGGATGCCTGTGAGAAGAAAGCCCCTACCAAAGATTGTGTATACACAGTGGATCCCAGTTATAAGGGGGACTCACCTTACGTGGATTCAGAGATATTGCTGATCAGATGGTGTCTGCAGAAAACCAAACGAACTGGAGAGAGCATCAAAGTGTGACCTGATGCTGGCCACCTGGAAGGTCCAGTAGGGCATCCCTCCCAATCCCAGTTCGATAAAGGGGTGCCCTGCCCTGGTATCTGAGACTCACAGATATGCAATATTTTCATTTTTGAAGTGTCTAGTGAAAGTGTGAAAAACAGGGCAAACACAGATGCAGGCTTTTGGGGTTTTTTTTAATTACTGAGAGAAATTGAACATGTTAAAAGGTCAAGATTTCTCCTGTGCAATTCAGGGAGGTCATTAAGCACCACAGGGCTGGGCTTAATCTGACAGCCTTTCTAAATCTGGCTTCTGAGAATAAAAAGAAAGAAGAAAGCCAGGTCAGAGCCCCTCGGGGGATATGGCCCATCCGTTACAGAGGGCCTGCTTTCTCCTTCAGTCTGCAGTAGGCAACACCCTGCTTCTGGAGTTTCATTGGGTGAGTAAGACTCGGGCCTCTGGAGCAAGGCAGTGCATGGAACCATCTCTTCTTAACCTGGGGCGGGGGGAACCTAACTGACCAAGGACTAGATTTATAGTGTGGATGCTGAATCCTGACCTGTGGCTAAAATTTCTAGCTAGAATTCCTTTTTAGCTAGAATATAGTCAGTTCTCTATTATTCATATGTGGCTTGCCCACTTAGCAGAATTTCTGCTATTGTGTTTTAATCAGAGAACTACTTCTGGGGTAGCTACCCAAGTTGTGCTGTCAGTAAGTGGTTGGGAAAGACCAGTTTTAATATTGGCCAGAGAAGAAACGAATTCAGAAGGCAAATCTGTGTCCTTCCTCTCCCACCCAAATGGAACACACTCTGAAAACCATGCAATTTAGTACTTTGGATTATACATGCTTTGTGATTATTTGGCCAACTCCTTTCTTCCATTGCTATGAATAATTAGGAGTAGAGGGTCCACGGAAAATCCCTCCTGTAATTCCCAGATGGCACTGATGGCTCCTTCTGCTGAACTCTCACAGAACTCGCTGTTAGCACTCTGGAGTCAGAACTGGGTTTGCATTCTGACTCTGCCTAAGTTTCTGCAGCGTGATAACCGCACTGGCATTTGGAGGGAAGATGTCTTTTTTCTTAGGAAATACATGCTG